AATTTTCTTCCCATTCATCTTTGATCAGGATTTACAGTCCAGATTTCCTATGTATGTGAAAATAGAGTGAATAAGATATCTTTGAGTAGCTTGGGCTTTCTGTTAAACTCAGTTGACGAGGAGCTACACTAGAGGCCGGAAGAAGGCAGGAGAATGGGTTCATAAATTATGGTATGAGACTGAGCCCTTTCATTGTTTCAATATCTATTAATTTTTATGTCACAATTCTTAAAAATTAAAACTTAATTAAAAGCTCTTTTAGGAAAAATTAAGTAAGGTTGCATCTATCCTACTCAAGCCCAGATATGAATCACATATTATCCTGTGATCCTTCCCTATGTGAAAAAAAAAAAAGAACGCTTGGTTAGTTGACTTTTGGATTAGTACAGAATGCAGGCAATTATAGGAAAATAGGAATGGAATTTATAATGCTAGAGAGTATTGAAGGACATCCAGGTTCCCTGAATCAAGAAATGAAGAGGTCTTTAGATGGCTCTCCTCCTTCTACCCTCATGAAGATGAAAGGGAAAGCTAGGATATTTTTTGCATTCCAGTGAAAAAGATATGATTGTTCAGGATTAGGCCTATAATATGAAAAACCAATTGCTAGCCCAGTTTCCTAATTAGAATGGTTGGAATTTAGGATTCTAGTCCAGGATGATAAAAACATATTTCAGTTCTTCAGTTGCAGTAAAAGTTTTTATCCAGATTGCACAGTATTTTCACAGGATGTTCCAGTTCATATGTAATTGGGTGGGTGGAAACATTTTAAAAACTGGTCTCATATTTTTAAGGAAAATTGGAATGCTTATAAATGAAGTCACGATTCTTAGGCTAAAATAAAACTTGTACATTTTTATTCTTATTTTTTTTCTTAAAATATGGAAATAAACTTTTAATAATGTCGATGAACATGACTACCATACCACTCAATTTTAATTATGGAGATGCTGGTGCTGAAAAATAATTTGAATCCAGAAGAAAATGTTTAATACAGAATTACACATAAACTATGGGCTGACATTTTATAATTATTGTCAAAATGCAAGTGATATTAATTTTTGGCATGGTATTGTGGCCACAAAACCTCTCAGCCACCAGAGGTGAAGTTAGGTAAAGAGATAAGATGTGGCATTTCTGGAAGTTGAGGCCCACACCAAGCGTTCTCTTTGTGGACACTTATGCTGTCCTTTCTGAGCCTGTGTACCCAGACACGTATGCATATCTTCCTGCAACCCAGAGAGGTGTTGGTCAGCCAGGAATTTCCTGAGGTATAAACATTTAATAATAATAATGACACAAACATCATTCATTTCTTGATGAATTTTATAGTGGTTTCTATGTGTCAAAGCTATGGTAGGTATTATGGGGGCCTGAAAATAACTAAAAGCCCTAACACTTCCCTAGAGAAATTTATAATCTAAAGAGAAAAAGAAATAATATTCAATTAAAAAATAATATAAGATAGTTTATGATCAAGTAACTAATTAATAGCAATGAAGAAACCAAAATGAAGCCCTCAAGCAGAGTACTAGTCTAGAGGAAGAAAAAAGTACAATAAGCTGAGGGCAGAGAAATTATTCAAGAATATCTATTATGTGTGGCACTATGCTGGGGACTATATACATTGAATTAAAGAGTGTCACTATCTTCTAGATTAGAAATTAATAATTGAAGATAGATAGTAATCATGTGGACAGAAATAATGTCATAAATCTAGTAAATGTAGAGCATTAAATTAGTAAATCATTTACATGACTAATCTAAAAGGGATGACGAAGGAAGAACAATCTTAAGAATTATCTATCGTGGAAAATCATTCCCTTTGCTTGATTGCAATAGTTAAAGGTCTTGCTAAAGAGGTGGGTTTTCTATAATTATTCAATTTAACATGGAAGCCTTTTTCAAGGAAATATTAGTAGATAATGTGTTTTTTGGTATTGTATGAATAAGAAATAAAGTCTACAGTGTTGTCCTAAAACCAGAAAAATACGTAATCCTCTGAGGGCCATTGGTTTTAACTGCCTCAGACACATAGTTTTGCAAATGCCTCATCCCAAATTACACATTTCATTTATGGAATTCACTGGCAAACACTTGTGCCTCTTAGAATTGCCAACTTCTATATTCAGAGTAGAAATCATCCATAGATTATCACAGAATGACCTTAGACCAGGAGCACATTGGTTCTATTTCTGGCTTTGACATTTTTCCTTGATAATGGCTCACCAAAACAATATTATCATGTCATTAACAAAGTCAAAACTTACATTTTGAAGATATAATTCCCAACTTTAAAAATGTCTTGCCCACATTGAGAGAATTATAGTGTACAAGGTTTTCCCGTAGTTTTTTTTTTAATGTAGCTATAGTAATTTTTGAGGCTATTTCAAGGGAAACTCTAATTTGTTAGATTATATAAAATCCACACATTTATTAGCTCTGCTCGAAAGAGGAAAATATCAGCTTCTCAAAGTAAATGAAGCTAGAAATATAGTTAGCTGTTGCTTATCCATGATATTTGGGATAAAGAAAACTATCAAGATATCAATGGTGAAACCCACGATTGATTTCAAATCTCCTTTCAATTATGATAATCTTCCAACTGTTTCACTAGATCTCTCACTGGAGAGGTTAACAAGTAGCCAGCCACAGGATTTAAGTTTGGCTCTTTTTCCTTTCTCTTGCCCTCCCTCTGGTGGAGGTGTTAATGAGTGAAATGCCCAGGATGGGCAGCTGAAGAGAACTCCAAGGGTTTGCATCCTCCACCAAGTACACATTAGGCTTTGGACTGGAAAATGACTGGCTGATGGCTCCCACTTCCCAGAAGCCTAGAAGGCGTCCACTTTGGTCAACTCAGAATTCATCTAAATGAGAATTCACTGAGTTATTAAAACATTATTAGTACTCATGCTTTCAGAAAGGAATAGACTTAATTTTTAACTGGGTTAATATTCCTAATGACTATCAATAACATGTTATAAAGAGTGGAGTTCCTGTTGGAAAAACAGGATAATTCCTGCTTCATAATAACATTTTAATTGGAATGTTTTTATCTTTTTAAAGCTCTTTTGCATCTAGTATCTCACTTGGTCCTCTCAGCAGCCTAGCAAAATAGTCATATTCTGAGGCCCCAGTAGAGAAGCAGGACCCAGGTTTCCCAAATCTTAGTACTGTGTTTTTGTCTTTCTCTATCCGGATAGTCTAATATACATAAGAAAATATAATAGCAACTTATTGTAAAGGTCCTTAAAAACATCCCCGAATTTTGGAATATCATAATCATACCTATTCTAACTCACATAAAATACATATGATAGTAACTTACCATGATGATTCTTAAAAACATTCCTAAATACTGGAACATCACACTCATACTGATCCCAGGAGTAGTACTAAATTAGTACTCATAAAGCACAATAATTAGTACATGGTATGCTAAGTAAGTACTAGCTATTATTGTTGTTGTTATTAAAATCCATGGTATAGTGTTCTGGAGAAAGAAAAACATGGACTCTGGAGCTGACCCTCTGGGCTTGAATCGTGGCTCAGCCACACATCTATCTTGTTGTGTGTAAACTCTTCGAGGAACACGTAGCATGGAGGCAGTGTTGTATAGATGGTAGTCACTATTATTACTTGATAACTCTAGTACGTATACACATAAGTGATAATTTGTTCTAAGTCACATGGTGGAGCCAGACTGTAATCTTAATCCTTTGATCTACCTCTTATACAAATGTCTTTCTAGGTTATGTTAATTTTCCACAATTCCTAAAATGTGTTTTACCTCCTTTTCATGTCTCCTTCCATGGGGACATGAAATTTATATTTACTCTCCTTTACCAAACTGAAAACCCTTTGAAAATCAACTTTTATAAAAATTTCCATTACAAAAATCTAAACCCTAGATGTCTTCAGCTGTTAGGTACTCAGTTTATGCCCTGCATGCACATTTGCATTTGTAAGGAGCTGTTTTGTGCTTAAAATTGTTTTTCCTTTCTAGACATATTCTGTAAGCCCACTAGAGGTCGGCTCCTTGAACCCTGCATTTCTATTCATTTCTTGTTAATTTACTCAACAGTATCTAGAACTGGATACTACTATAGCCCAGTGGGCTATTCAGTAAATTACCAACTGACTGGCAGGCATTCCCTCTAGTTTATTGTTTTTTTTTTCTTCTTTGTTATTAGCTGACTAGCTTTGTCAGGGGCTGTCAAGAACATGCAAGTTTCATGGTCATGTAAAAATAACTCAGTCAAAGTCTTTCCTCTAGTAGAGGCTGAGGATTTAGTTGTACATTCTAAATATCTGGCACCTTCCACTCTTAGGAAGATTTTAAAACTAAGGCACAGATATTCAGACTCCAAGGAGTGTTTTTGTTTTTGTTTTTGTTTCTCACCAAAAAACAGGACCCGAGGCGGCAGGCAGGCAGAGGGTAGGGAAAATGGGTGTGGGGTGGAGAGATGTCTCTAAATCCTCAAGGGATAGTCTGGTTAGAAAGAAGAAAAAGGTAACCAGACCCCGTATCTTCTTGGTTTTGTTCCTTTTTTCCCCTCAGGACGGAGGTGGCAGCTGATCAGACACAATAGCTGGCAGTCCCCCGCCTGAGTGAGGATAAAAATGACCCTCAACAGCACCAGCAGGACTGGGAAAGGGAGGAGGAGTGTGTATGGGAGGGGCGAGGATGAGGGTAACAAGGTGACAAACGCCGCCGCCTCGGCGGGCTACTCCACTTCGACCCGGCGAGGATAGGAGCTGGTGAGCCACCCGGGATCCGGGGTGGGAGACAGAGGGGCGGTGGCATTTCCTACTGGGGGCGGGGCGGAGGGTGGAGGGAAGCCTGAGTCAGCAGCCCCTGATTGGCTCGTGTTGTCTCGTCGCGTCTCCTGATTGGGCCATTTACAGCGGGAGATGTTAGGAGGCGCGGCGGGGCGGGACGAGCCGCCCGGGGTCTAGGGCCTGGCCCGGGAATTGGGTGCGGAGGAGCCGCGGTGGTTCGCGGAGTCCCGAGCTGCTGTGACCCGCAGGGTGGAGCAGCGCAGCCACCCTTCTTCCGTGCCCCCTGCAGCGCCGTAGTCGTTCCGATGCTCTGAAGATTTAAAAAGGGGGAAAATATTGAATGAATAACGCATTTCTGCGACCCCCTTACTCCGACACGAAAAGCTATTTTGCTGTGGGGCGAGAAAAGACACTCCCTTATCTTGAAGTTGCACCTCGCCTCGCTGCCTCTTTCCTCTCCCGCTGCAAAAAAAAAAAAAAAAGGGCAAAAATTGACCAAGACGTGCCGTCCCCTATCCCCGCAGTCTGGGACCCGTGATCCCTCAATCTCGCACATGAGCTATATAATTGTCCCCCTCACTGGCCCTGACGCCGAGTACCGAGTCTCTTCTTCGTAAAAGCCCGGTTCCCCGCCGCTCCCGCTCACCGTTCGGGAGCTCGGAGAACGCGGGGAAGGTTTTGTGTGTGTGCCTGGTTTTGGGGGGAAAACAGAGGGGTGAGGGCGCGTGGGTCCCGAGACACTTTGAGACGGAGGTGGCGAGCCCCCCCTCCCCCTTCTCCAGCCTTGGTTCCCGGGACCGTATTATTCAAGACAGAAAATATTCAGCCCCAGAGCCTCCCCTGGGGAGGGGAGGGGAAGGAGGTGGAGTGGGAGGAGGTGGATCCAGGGAGGAAGAAGCGAGAAATCCGCCCCCGGGAAACAGCTCGGCGCTGCGGAGCAGCGAGGCACTTCTGTCACTT